ATTAGTCTACATTTATAAAAGATTTCTTAATAAATTTACCTGAAGAATATTATTCTTTTTTTTGTTGACCAATTAGTTCAGTCTTTTAGGTTCGATGTTTCCACTGCCGCGAATAATCTACGCCATGGCTTCGGATGGATTGGTCTTCAAATGGATGGGCAACATAAGCTCACGATTTCAGACTCCGATCATGGGCACTCTTTCTGCTGGGTTGCTTACAGGTACGTTAATTTTAATATTAATTAATTGATTAATTGCTTAATGATCATTTAATTATATATTATAGGCATTTTAGCCACGCTACTTGAACTTAAACCACTGGTCAACATGATGAGTATTTGCGCATTGCTTACATACTCGATTGTTGCGTCTTGTGTACTTATTCTGCGGTAAGAGGATTTAAATTATAATAATTTAATTAATTTAATTAATTTTGTTTATAGTTTAATTGATCTATTTTAAATTAAAATATCTTATCAGACTAAAGTTAAAACGAATATGACAATTTAATAATTTAATAATAATTTTACATTTTATTGTCCTTTTTCATTGAAAATAAATATATTTTTTGTAGATATGAAGAAAGCGAAGCGTACGAGAAGAAAGGCGATCATAATCCACGGACTTTTACATTCATCGTAAAACAACTGATAGGCGCGAACAAATTAAAACATTCTACAAAACTTACGGGGCAAATAGTTACCGCCCTCGTATGTTGCTACAGTAAGATTTCTTGTTACATTCGCCAATATTGTCTCATTTCGAAATATCTAATGTGTTATACAATTTTTTTGCAGTCATTTTTTGTATCTGTATGGCTATTTTACTATCACTCTATATGAAAGAGCTTTTTGAGGGGAAAGTAACTATCTTAGTGCCAGTTGTGATTTTATTTGTTGTACTTCTGATTATTCTCTGTTTTATTTATTTCCAACCAACTTCCGGCACGAAACTTGCATTCTCGGTATGATATATGTTTTTATTGTTTATAATATTTCTGTTGATACTGTCTCATCAACTCATAATTCGCAACGCTTATTATTAATTTTAAATGTTCTTTATAAGCGAATGCTAATTTATAATTAATTTTATCGTGTGTGTGGTGGGGGGGGGGTCGTGCGTGCGTGCGTGCGTGCGTGCGTGCGTGTGTGTGTGTGTGTGTGTGTGTGTGTGTGTGTGTGTGTGTGTGTGTGTGTGTGTGTGTGTGTACCCTATTTCGCATGACCGCATACTTTGTAATATATATATATTTGTAAAAGGCGTAACATAATTTTTTGTTTAACTTTTTCTTCAAGACATGAATAAAAGTTA